GTGTATTTTTGTTTCACAAACACGTCAAAAATGTTCAAATTGTAAACCGAGTACATGTGAGAGAAACTCATAGATCTCATGATGAAAAACGAATCATATGAAATAGCACATGATATACTAGTTCTCAGGGATCTCACAATTTAGAGGGTTCTCAAAAGAAAGTCCCTCATAATATATATATATATATATATATAAGGGTTAATTTATATAAGGACCGAAAAAATGTTGAGAACCTTGAGGAGTAATCTAATCCATATATCAGTTTAAATCAAAGGTCATTAAAAAAATATAATTTTAATAAAATGGTGAAATAAGGGTATTTTTGTTGAATTGGAAGTAGGGGAAAATGTCTTTTGTTAAAATAATAAGATTATAACCACATTTTTAATCGCACCCTTCAATCATCTCGTCTGACGTTAAGATCCGTTCTCTCATTCTCTACTAAATAAGTAGTGTGATCCCCTACTCTAATCATTTTCTTCGACGCCACCGGCCCTCTTTATCCGATTATTTTCTCTAGCAGTTTCCATTCTTTGTGTTGTCAAAACAAAACAAGGGTGGTGTCTGATTGGTTTGAATTTGGCTCCAAAGATCAAAAGTACCAGGAGGTCCAGGTTCAAATTCAAGGAGGAATAAAAATCCTCTTGTGGTTATGGAGGTTCAAATGCGATGACTTTCGCAGGTGGTCAGCTCGCATAGCGGGTTGGTTATTCAGGTTAATAAAAAAAACAAAAGAAAGGCAAAGAGAAATAGAGGCCACAAAAGGGAGCTCGATGTAAACAACACGAAAAGCTCACGGAACCCATCTCCATCTTCCCCCTTTTGGCCTTCCCTTTCTTCGATAAACCGATCTGTATGTATGTATGTATGTATGTATGTATGTATGCGGTCTTTTTATCAAGACCACACTTTTCTAGTGTTTTTATTCTAACTTTTGTACGATTATGAAGATAACGATCAATTATCCTACTCGCTTATCGTTTAAATGATTGGATTTTTAAAACTATAATCACTCAAAAATAAAGTGAATTCGTTAGTAATTAATAAATACATGAATCTTTGCCAAATCATAAAAACTCAAAGTAAAATATTCAAAATATATTCAATTGGATTTAAATATCTATACTATATTATAAAACATTTGACAAAAACTTTTAAAAACTATTTTTTATGCATGAAGTACTGTTTATTGATGTGTATTACTTAAAAATTCAAGATTACAAGTAAATTGTGCATAAGTACAACTTATAAAAACTCTATGTTTGAAGTCGTGTAACTAACTGCGGATAAACATAATAAAATAAAGGATAAAATCACATTTTAAAATATAAAAAATCTAAAATATAATTAGGATAATTGTTGAGTTCTAACATAATACTTAATTATTATCTTTATAAAAAAAATATATTATTAAACCTAAAGTAAGTTAAAGTAAATTATAATAAAAAAATTGAATTAAAAAAACATATAAACAAGAACTTTTAAATAGTTAATTTGATACTAATATTGATATATTTTTTTGCAAATTTTATATGATATTTTTAAATTTATATTTTATTTAAAAATAAAAACATTATCACTTTCTCAAAACTACATAAAATCGTATTTATGTCGACATTGATACAAAATAAAACGAAACATTGAAATGAAAATGTGAATCGATGCATTACACGAGTACCATTCTAGTTTTATTAAATAAACGTGCTAAATTAAAATTTATTTTTAGGCGAAAATCTTTCAACATAAATATGAATAAATTGTTTGTATTTTGTAATTGTTTTTAACTATCGAATAAAACAACATTGATCATATTAATCTGAATTTAAATTAATGATTTTTATATGTCATATAAAATAAAATAATCTTATTTTATTTATTAAATAAAATAATCTGAATTTAAGTTGTGTTTTTATATTAGAGAAATTGGAATCATGTGAGACAATTCTGCTTTTCTTAGACCTGTGATATCATATAACGCTGGACCTTCAATAGTTTTTGTATCTTCACAATGTTTTTGTGATAAAGTTTTAATGTTATTTATACATTTATGAAAACACACTGGTTTTATATGAAACCAATCGTATATTAAAGTCAAGTAATTACTAAAACAATCCAATTATTTTATAGGGCAAATTGCATGAAAAAATAACGTACTTTAACTTGATTCCTATTTTGGATAACGTACTTTCAAAACTTTCATTTCGGTACCTAAGATGTAAAGTTTTAAACATTTAAGTACCCGAGTAACTGGTTGAAATATTAACCGATTATCATGCTGATGTGGCGAGTGATGTGGTATCCAACTCAATATTATTTGCTGACGTGGTCAGTGACGTGGATTTTTTTAAATATAAAATTAGTCTTTTTTTTAATATAATTTTAGTCTTCAAGTGGTTACCCGGGTATTTAAATGTTTAAAACTTTACATCTTGGGTACCAAAATAGAAGTTTTGAAAGTACGTTACCCAAAATAGGAATCAAGTTAAAGTACGTTACTTTTTCATGCAATTTGCCCTATTTTATATTACTAGAAGTGTACTCGCACAATGCAGCGAGATACATCTCAATTTTACGTTTCATTTTTTTTTGTCTCAGTCGATGTTATAAAAAATAGAAAAAAACATTGATATTAGTACCAAAATGACTTTAAAATTTATTCTTTTTTGTGTATTTATTCAATTCATTTTTTTTTTGGTTTAATAATATAATCTTTTATAAATATAAGAATTAAGTATTTTGTTAGCACTCAATAATTATCCTAGTTATATTTTAATTTTTTTTGTTTAAAATGATATGTTTATCCTCTATTTGATTATGTTTATCTGCAGTTAGTTACACGAATTCAAATATGAAGCTTTAATAAGTTGTACTTATGCAAATTTTACTTGTAATCTTAATTTTTAAGTAATATGCATTAATAAACGGTACTTCATGCATAAAAAATGGTTTTTAAAAGTTTTTGTCAAATATTTTATAATATAGCATAGATAACGGAATTATCATCATGGAATCTTTCCGTTTTAATCCTTGGTTTCAAAGTTGTTCATCTACTTCAACGCCACAAAACGTATTACAAATTGATAACTTGTAAAATTGGCAACCCCGAACATTAGTTGATTTGGTATTTTTAAGTAAATTAAGGGGTGTTTATCAGATGCTTACTGGTAAGCGTTTACCATTTGTAAATTATCTTTTTGAGTGAGCATAGTAAGGATTGAGAATCTTATCCGATAAGAAGCATAGTAACCTAGTGGTAACGATTTGGGCATGGCATAGTCATGAACCCGAGTTCGAGTCCTGGGAGGGGAGTGTTGGCGACATTTAAATAGGGTCATGCTTTGCCTCCAAATTTGCCAGGGATTAGTCGGGCTTTGGCCCGGACACCCTTCAAAAAAAAAAAAAAAAGCATAGTAATGACCGAAAATCTCGTCCGAAAAACACTTACCTGGTAAAAGACTGCTTACCCGATAAGAAGCATAGTGAACGTACTTATCTGATAAATATTTAGTAAAAGAGCCATAAGTATAATGATTTTAAAAATGAATAACATTATATTCTCCTGAAAATACTCGTGAATGATGTATTTAACTCATTTAAAAAAAAAATCTAAACATCATATGACGTTATTAAATGTCATTTAGAAAAGATTTTTGTAATAATTTTTTTAAAAGGCAACCAATGTTATTAAGAAACAAAAAACCCCACAAAGTGAATACAAAAACCACTTAACCATAGGGGTGGTGTTTGATTAGTTTAAGCTAGTGTTTCAAAGATCAAAAATACTTGGAGGTGTCATGTTCAAATCCAAGGAGGAATAAAAATTCCCTTGTGGCCATGAAGATTCAAATGCGATGACTTCGAGCAGGTAGCTGCCCTGGGATTAGTCGGCTAAGATAGCGGGATGAATATCTAGGTTAATAAAAAAAACACTTAAACTTTGGGCGTTAGCTCAACTAATAAAAAGGTTTGGGCCTTTGATGATCCTTCTGAGAAGTCACCGGTTCAAGTCAGACCACTGAGGACTTTTCCTGGTTGTACTCCAAGGCCCCTGGATTAGTCGAAATGAGCACAAGCTAGCCTCGACCCCCATGGTTAACAAAAAGAACTCACTTATACTTTATTCAAGATACATAAATAAACCCAAAAAAGTACAGGGGACACCAACACCCAAACAAGCGCAAAACAGAACAATAACAAACGAAAAGAGAGACCAAAACTAAACAAGAACACACCTGAAAGATCAAGGCCTATATGTATGTGGGAAGAAATTGAATGAATTGATCATTGTATAATCCGGTGCGAGATGTTTTTGATGCGTGGACTAAGGTCTTCGGTTGGTGGGGCTTGGACTCCCCCAACGTGGTCTTCATTTATGACAATATATAGGGGGTGTTTAGGATTGCTTATCTGAAACAACTTATGTTTTTCTATAAAAGCACTTATCAATTTATTATAAGTTAGAATAGTTTAATTACTTCAAAAACTTCTTATTACCGGTTTGAAACCGGTATAAGTTGTTTATCCAAACACTCAAAAGTGCTTATTACTGGTGTTACACAAGAATAAGTCAATATGTTCTTTTTATAAACAATCTCAAACACCCCCATAATGTTCGTAACATACTCACTTTAAAATAAAGTAATACAAGGACACGTTTTTGTTTCTTTTCAAGTGTTCTGTTGAATCAATAATTATGTGACGATGTTGTTGTGAAAATGACATATCAAGTAAGTCACACATAGTTCTATTTTCGTTTATCGACTCGTGCAATATGGATTCAAAACTCAAAAGTACGAATTTGTTGTTCCTGTGGGCTAACTCCGTCACTTCTTATTTTGTATAGAGGTAGAGTACAATGAATCACAAAAAAGAATTGTTAAAAAAAGCAAACGATAAAAGTAGAGGGACAGAAAGTGTAAATTTTACAAACTTGCAACGAGGAATATTCAAGGTCCAACGGGACATATAAAAGAGCTCACAAAACCTTCCGTAAAGGCGATGATCAAGTGCATGTGTAAAGGCCATCTGAATTGATCGTGTCTCTACGGAAATCACACAAATTTAGCAAAATATGTATTTGAATCGATCAAGCTTTTGCCTCCATTGATGCACGTCTCGAGCTCTATAAATGAAACAGGTAAATTGACATCGGTTTTTTCCTCTTTAGCCTTCGGTTCAGTTGTAGCATTTGGAATGAATCACAATCGAATCGACGATGTTGTTATTACTCACGACGAGTAGATTAGCTTGAATTCGTCATATGTATTTTCGTTATGTTGAATTGTTGTTCCTGTCTGTGAGTATGATACACCTTTTCTTTGTTATGTATGTGAATCGGAAAGCGAAACAGAGAAATATTTCGTGCTTCCATCAAGAGAAGATCAATTACTATTTCATTGATTTGGTACTTATTACCTTAGAGATTAGTCTTACATTTTATGGTTAGGTCGAGTTCTTCCGGTTTAAGTTTAGGTTTTTGGTTTGCCTGATAACCTGGAAGGGTTGGTTATTATGGCTTAAACGCTTTGAATGGTTCTTGATTTCTCCAGAAAACCTATTTGCCATCTGTAAGAATTTGCTCACCACATTAAATTCTACAGTAGTTTATAGAAATAGAATGGTGTTGGCTTTAAATGTTTTAAAAAGGTCCATGTTGATTTTCCATTTTATGCATACTTGTTTATATGGAGTTTGAACTTTTGCAGACAAAAGCTATTTTCAGGGCTGATAAGTTCATCTCTAGAAGTAATCAAATGTTTCTAGCAAAGAAGTTAAACATATATGACGAGAAGGTTTTCATTCAAATTATATTCTGCCTGCTAATCTTTGACATGATATATCTTGTATCTAGAAGCGTAAACATATTCGTTTTGGGGTTCTGATGTTCAGGCTTGGATCTCGTGTTCGTTGCTTCTGCTTGGTCATTAACTACTGCGTTTAGAGTTCCTTCATCTGCCTGCATATTGCAGTATTCTGCATTCTTTTGGTGTTCCTTCAAAAAGAAAGCAAGGGAATGCTGAAAGATGTGCCTGAGGTTTCATAGGCCTTCTTTGGAATTCCACTAGAATTGCCGTGCTTCATCCCTGATGAGACTGGGAATAATATGTTCTGCTACTGGAAACAAATCCCATTACAGAATGGTTGCTTTATTGGAGCATAATCTTTCTGAAGATTGAACTGCTTTGTTTTAGAAAATCTTTCTACATAGTAAAGATCGAGGGTAGCTTATTAGTCTCATATATCATATATTAAGATTTGGTATATAAGAAATATGGACATTAAAGGGAATATCCTGATGGAGAGATACGAGTTAGGGAGGTTACTAGGTCAAGGGACGTTTGCCAAGGTTTACTTTGCTCGTCACTTAAGAACAGGCCAAAGTGTGGCAATTAAGGTAATAGATAAAGATAAGGTTTCAAGAGTTGGGCTTATTAATCAGATCAAGAGAGAAATATCTATTATGAGACTAGTGAGACACCCTAACATCTTGCTGCTTTATGAAGTCATGGCTACCAAAACCAAGATATATTTTGCCTTAGAATATGCGAAAGGTGGGGAGCTCTTTGATAAGGTGGCCAAAGGAAAGCTAAAAGAACATACTGCTCGTAAATATTTTCAGCAGTTGATCAATGCTATTGATTTTTGCCACAGCAGAGGGGTCTATCATCGCGATCTGAAGCCTGAAAACTTGCTATTAGATGAGAATGAGAATTTGAAGGTTTCTGACTTCGGGTTAAGCGCCCTTGCTGAATCCAAGCGTCAAGATGGGATGCTGCATACCACTTGTGGGACCCCTGCCTATGTGGCTCCGGAAGTTATCAATAGGGGAGGCTATGATGGGGACAAGGCCGATGTTTGGTCTTGTGGGGTGATTTTGTATGTTTTACTAGCTGGTTATCTCCCATTCCATGATTCAAATTTAGTGGAAATGTATAGAAAGATTGGCAAATCAGAGTTTAGAATTCCGAATTGGTTTCCCCCCGAGGTACGGAGGTTGCTCTTGAAAATCTTGGATCCAAATCCCATCAGTAGAATCTCAATTGCCAAAATAAAGGAAAATCCATGGTTTCAAAAGGGGAAAATTGCCAGAGAACCGAGAAATGAGACTGAAAATAAAGTGTTGGTTCCTCCTCCAAGTTCAGATGGAGCTTCAGGCTCCTCCATTACAGATCCTGAAGAAAACCAAGAAGTGATGAATCCCCCAAACATGAACGCATTCGATATTATCTCCCTCTCTCCAGGGTTTGATTTGACAGCATTATTCGTGGAACCCCGGCAAAAGAAAGAAGCAAGATTTACCATTTGGCAACCTGCGTCCATTATCATCTCCAAACTGGAAGACGTTGCTAAACTTCTGAGGATGAAGGTGAGCAAAAGAGAAGCTGGGTTGTTGAAAATTGAAGCATTGGACGAGGGTAGAAAAGGCATTTTGTCAATTGATGCAGAGATATTCGAGCTCACTCCATCCTTCCATTTGGTGGAGGTGAAGAAATCTAATGGAGATACACTCGAATATCAGAAGGTAGTAGATGAAGGTTTAAGACCTGGACTTGAAGATATAATGTGGGATTGGCAAAGTGACGAACAAGCACCTCCGCAACAAGAGCAACAAGTACAACCACAGCAGGATCAGTTGTAGGGATTTGGATCCATTGCCATTATTTCAGGTATCTATCTAATACTTGTACATGTTTATCTCTTTATAATCTTTATCTAAAAAGTCATTACTTGGTATATATATGCTGCTGTAATGATCCATATTCATGCTTAAGATGTCCTTTGCCTTCAAAGAGTCCAATTACTAGAAACCATACATACTGTTGTGCCATAAGTCGAAAGAAACAAGTCCCAAAACGCTTCGACTGATCATACAATACAATATATTCAGTAATAACCTCGAGGTTGCCTGTGC